TGGCTGTGGGCTCCTCCCCACAGAGCTGCTCCTGTCGCCGTGCTCAGCAGTCATCCTTGGCCTTTCCTCCAACCCCTCCTATCAAAGGACTCAGACAAATCTGGGGTCTCCATGGCATGCTGGTCAGGAGCTGGAGGGGCCCCCATCGGTCTCAGGAAATCTGCCCTTAAGAAGAAGGATGGAAGGCAGGGTGTGACCTGGGATGGTGCTGTCTCACGCTCCAAGCTCGCAGTAGCTCCTCCGCCCAGTCGTGGTCAGCTGTGAGATCTCACTTGCCCGGGTCAGGAACTGCAGGAAACCTTGCCCATGACATATGATTGAAAAATACGGTCAATGTTCTTCTTTGTCTTTTCTAAAATTATTACTGTAAAAGACACATTACCATTAATCCCCCTCAATTCAAACACACTTATCCCGTCTTTCTTGCCCCTTTCTGAAGCAGGTCTGGAAGTCCCCTTTCATGTCTTGGTTGCACTTTCGTGGCTGCCTCCATGTCCTGAGTTGTTGATTCAAAATGTTTATCTTTCACGGTCATTTTGACCTTGAGGAAGAGGCAGAAGTCACAAGGTGCCACATCCGGTGACCAAGGTGGATGGGGACACACCGTCATGTTTTTACAGCCTGCCTTTCTGTGCACTTGGCAGCAGCATTCACTACATTTTTGATCATACCTCATAAAGTAGTTCCCCACCAGTCCCTTGCTTCTGTCTCCTCTCCTTGCACTTTCCCTGTCATCGAAACACAGAGGTCACCGGACTGCTCTTCGGGGGCGATGAAATCTCAGCTGCTGAGCCCTGCCACGCCATCCCCGACCATCTCCAGTCACGGCCCTGTGGTGGCTCCCTTATTCTGGAGGCTGGCATGCCAGGCCTCCTCTTCTTTTTAGATTTTCTTCAAAAACTTAAATTTTTGTTGTGTATGATTTAGCAGGCATCATCCTGCCGTCTCGGGTATTGCTGTTGTATCAGCCCACGTTTGCAGTACCTAATGCTTACATCCCTCGGGGGGAGTTGGTATGTGCACATAACACATCTCAATTCCATTCCTCTTCTCAGGCTGGCTAAATCGGCCTCATCCTTCCAGAGCTCGCTCGGGGTCACCTTCTCCCTGACACCCTTCCTCTTAAGACCCCTCTTCCCTCTGTGCACGCACAGCCCCTTGGTAGCCATTCGATCTTAAAAACAAACTTTTGGACCAGGGATTTAGCTCAGTGGTCCCGCCCCCTGCCTCACAAGCGCAAGGTTCTGAGTTCGATCCCTGGTACAAAGAAACAAAAACAAACTTTTAAACATTGTAGTAATATGCACATGTCATAAAAGTTAGCATCTTCACTGGTTTTAAATGTGTAATCCATGGCACTCAGCACATTTACACTGTTGTACAATCATTATCCACTACACACCCACAAAACACTTGTCCTTTCCTCAACTGAAACTCCATGCCCACTGGGAACAAGCTTCCCACCCCTTTGCCCTGACTCTGTGGATTAAATGGAATCACACAAGATTGGTCCTTTTGCACCTGGTTTATTTTACTCAAAATAATGTCCTCAAAGTTGTATCTGTGTTGTAACACGTCCCAGAATTCCCTTCCCTCCCAAGGCTGGATAACAGCCATGCTATGGATGCACCACATTCTGTTCAGCTGCTGGCTTCCTGCCTTTGGGCTACTGTGAGCAACACTGCTGTGAACGCGGATGCACACCTATCTGGAGACCTTGCTTTCAATCATTTTGGATGGGAATGCACCAGTGCAGTTGCTGGGTCACATCATAATTCCACGTTTAACTTTGGGTGCAAAGCCATATTGTTTTCTTAGCAGTTGCACAGTTTTACATTTCTAACAGCAGTGCACATCCTCACCAACACTGTTTTAAAAAGTAATAGCTCTTCGGATGTGTGTGAGCAGATGTTGATACTTATTTCATGATTAGTCTTGTGGAGCATCTTTTCAAATTCTTTTCAGTTTCTCAGTCACTGTTTTTTTGTTTTTGTTTTTGTTTTTTTCTCAGCTGGGGACTGAAGCCAGGGCTTCACATTGTGCTACATCTTCAGTCTGTTTTTGTAAAATTAATTAATTAATTATTCTGAAACAGGGTCTCACCAAGTTCTCCAGGCTGGCCTCAAACTTTTGAGCTCCCTGCCTCAGCCTCCTAAGTAGCTGGATTATAGGTGTGCCCCACCAGACCTGACCATCAGTCATTCTTAAAATGGAGTTGGCAAAGTTTTACTGTGAAAGGTGAAACAGTAAATATTTTAGGCTTTGTGGGACAGATTGAATCCTGCCATTCTTGCAAATAGGCACTCATGGATAATATGTGTGCAGGAGGCTCATAGTTTATCCATCCCTGCTGTTAAGACAAGGGAGCTTGGGTCGCTAACTTTGGCATTTCATTCCTTCTGCAGCACTATGAATGCTTTGAAGGCAAGGACTCTATCTTGGTCACTTCTGCCCCCTTTTGAATATAGTGGGCGCCCAACAAATATTGTCTAAGTTGACGTTCCCCTCCACGCCACAGAGGACAAAGCTGGTAGTGTGTGTGTGTGTGTGTGTGTGTGTGTGTGTGTGTGTGTGCGCGGCTTGGGCATGTGGCCCATGCCTGTAATTCCAGATACTCAAGAGGCCGAGGCAAGAGGATCTTGAGTTCAAGGCCAGCTAGGCGAACTTGTTGAGACTCTATCTCAAAAATAAACGAATGAGTGAATATAGGGTTGCTAGGAGACAGGCTACCTTGGCCCTCTCCCTGTTTCTAGGTCATTCTATAGAGTTCTTTGGAAAATCCTGAGCCAAAGGAGCTGGTGCTGCAAACTGTCCTTGAGGGCCCTTGGCCATGGTTTCTTTTCTCTGGGGCTCCCCCAGCTGGCCAATGTGGGAGTTGCTGGCTTCCCCCTCTAAAGGCCATCCAGTCCCATGGACACTGGCAGGTAAGGAATGGAGAGCCAGGAGGAGCTCGGTGTTTGCAGGGCATCCAGGCAGCTTGGCTATGGCTCCTGTATGGTTGAGGAAGTGCTTTGATGGAGATGCAGGAGGCCACAGGACAGAGGCCTGCGGGGCGGAGAGAGGGTAAGTGGAGCCTCATGGGAGAGGGGAGAGCTTTGTACCAGCAGGGGCAGGCGGCCTAGAGTCCTTGTCAGAGGACAGACATGCACACCGACCTCCCCGTCTGTTGTGGCCAAGCCTGGCTCCGCAGGGCTCCAGTCCTTTCCTGGTACAGTCCTGGAACACTTGCAGAGAGGGACGCCCACCATGCCCCCAGGCTTGTCTCTCTTGGACCCTCCCCGACGCCTGAGTTTCATTAGGGCCCCGGTCCTCTTTGACGTGAGAGCCAATGCGCCCTTTCCCGCCAAAAGCTACACACCCAAAGGCTGTGTCCAATTCACGGAGTTCATAGAGCCCCCGAACACGGGTGCCGGCCTGGGGCCCCTGCTCCCTTCCCCACTCTGCGGCCGTTTCCTTTTGCCAACGGCTGCTCTTCACGCTAGGATTCCAAGCCAGGCAGACATTACCTGTGTTTCCTGAGCACCCACTTTGTGCCGCGGACACACTGGTTGGCTCTTGGCCCAATGGGGGGATGAGAGAAAGCAGCAACTGGGAGCACAGGAAATGAGGCGAAGATCAAGGGCCACCGGCGGGAATCTGGAGAGCACAGGTTCGGGTGGGCTTTGCGGGTAAAGGGACCCGGGGCTTAGAGGGGCAGCGAGGACAATCTGAGCAGGAAACAGTGGCTGGGCTGGCTGGCAGCAGGTGTGAGGGACACAGGGACCTGCCACAGCACTTCCGGAGGGACCAGGAGGGGATGACAGATCAGCTGGCTGTCACTGTACACCTGGCCTTGGTGCTGAACTAAGTCCAGTGTCAGAGAAGAAGGAAGAGGGACTGAAACAGGACATCATCCTGAGGGGCATGCAGCAGCTGGCTTTTAGCTGTCCCCAAGCTGAGAGCTGCCTTCCCTTGGCTGACTTTCCAGAAGGGAAGGGGGACATGGGAGAGGCGCCGGAAGTCATCTGAGGTCCTCAGCCTTCAGGAGTGGATCAGGGGCTGAAGGGAGGCTCTACCTGGACTCCGTGGCCTGGGCCCCTGAGCAGGACCTGTGGACAGAGGCCATGCTCACGCCGTCTCGGTCCAGTGAGAAGCCTTGGGAGGCGCAGAGGCTGCTGGTGGATGTACTCTCTCCAAGGGGGCCGGGGTGAGGAATGCAGGGAAATGCAAGGGGCGGCCAAAGCCTTCCCGGGCAGAGGGTACTCGCCTGGCCAGCTGGGGGCCAAGCCTGCCCGGCGAGCCTCAGCTTCAGGTCTGCGTGGGCAGCCCTAGCTCCGTACGGTTCTGACCCAAGTTCCCCAGGGGCTGGGTTCCTCTGCAGCCCCACTCCTGCCCTTGGCACCCTGTACTTCTTTTTGGAACTTGAACAGCTGCCCAGTATGGTTTGTGTGGCCCGGGGGAGCTGCCCCGGTAGGCAGGGGCTGGGTATGACTCACCACCCAAGCGCAGCACAGTACCCAGGAAATCCGTGAGCGCAAGGTGAGGAAGGGGTGCTGGTGTTTCGTCACAGTGGCGGGATGGGTTGGACAATCCCGAGTGCAGCCAGGGCCACCCCTGGCCCAGAGGGCCGCCAGCATTTTCCTTAGGAAGCTGCACAGCTGAGGCAGGCTGGTCCCCGGGGCTCTTGAGTGACACCTGCTCACTTGGTGCCCGCTGCCTCCTCCCACTGCTGCGCTCCCCCCCAGGCCTTTGGGACTTACGGAGGTGGGATGATTTTCTTGATTCTGGCGTACAATGTGCAAACTGCCACATTTCTCATCCTTCAAGGACCTGCCCCTTGGAGGCCATGTCACCTCCAGCTGAACACAGATCAGTTTGTCTTTGTATCATTCATGCCTGCTATCACAGGGGCTTGTGGACTCCAGTGTTCTAAGGGCCTGACAGGCAAAGGCGGCATCTGATTTATGTTTATATCCCACGGCCCCGTGACCATAGCTAACACTGCAATAACACAAACAGTGTACTTGTAGACCTCCATTTATTCTAGTCTCCCCTTGGATGAAGGTGAAGAAGACCATGGGAATCTTTAAGATTACATTTCAGTCTGAGAAGAAACTGGTTTCTGGAAGCAAAACATCACCAGAAAAATAGAAAAGGCTGAAGAGTTATTTGTGCTGGACCCTTTGGAAGTTGGCCTTCAGGAGTCCACAGGCACAAGCAGTAGGGAAATAGCCCTTTCTACACCCTCTCGTGGACTCTCCAGCTGTCCACCAGCTGATGCCTCGAGTCAGAGAAGAGCTGAGCAGCTGAACACTGCACTGGATCACCACTTGTCACTAAAAACAATGGGACTCTGGTTATAAAGGGGAATGTTTTATAAAAGACTGATGCAGGCAGGCAACGCAACAGTCCTTGAAAGAATTAGGAAGCATGGAAGGTCAACAACCAGGGGTCTTTTCTTCCCCCAGGGACTGGGGAATTACAATTGTTTACTTTTTGTTTTTTTTTTTGCTCTAAACTATGTTGATGTGAAATGTACATTTGAAGTCTCACACATGTTTACAACTTTTGCTTGTCTTCTAGGTTATTGTCAATGAGTTGTTTGTTTCCTACAGCTCCCATTAGATACAAGGCCATGGGAATGAAATGGGCAACTTCGGGGTGGGGTGGTTGTTGTAATAAGGAACCAGTGAGGGAGGGAGGGAGGGAGGGAGGGAGGGAGAGAGGGAGAGAGAGAGAGAGAGAGAGAGAGAGGAAGAAGAGGAAGAGGAGGAAGAGGAGGAAAGAGAGAGACAGTAGCAGAGAGGGGAGAGAGAGAAAAGAAAACAACAGAACATGAAGCTACACACTAAGAAATCCGAATGTCAAGCTGGGAAGGAAGAAATGCCTGTTCTCCTCGTCACCCCTGTGGTCACGGAGGGGCAGGGTGCACTCTCACTGAACTCGCAAGAAGAGCTGCAGGCTGAGAAGAAACTCATTTGAGGGCTATTCATCGGTCAGTGCACAGCCAGAGTTACCAGGCAGGGGGAGGGGGAGGGGGAGGGGGAGCTGGCCCTGACCCGGTCCCAGCAGCCTCACTCGACCTTCCGTAGGTGGTGGAAGCTCCGCACGGTCTTCTCCACAGCCTCATCCATGCTGACCAGTGGCTGGTAGCCCATCAGCTTCTTGGCTTTCTCACAGCTGTAGTAGTGGAATGTACCCGCCAGCGCGACCCGCATGGGTGTGAAAGTGGGCTGGATTTGGACGAGGGGGCTGATCATTGTCACCAGCAGGGACAGCAGGAGGGCCAGGTAGTAGACTACCCAGTAGGGGAGGTGGTATTTGGGGGGCTCATAGTTGAGGCCTATCAGGATGCGGGACAGGAAGCTCCAAAAAGGGATGGGCTCATCGTTGGTGATGTGAAATGCCTGGTGAGGGAACGGAAGTCAGGAGTTACTGCCAGGACTTCCGTGACTTTTCCTGTGGGAACCCAAAGGCCGCCCCCGCCCGCTGGCCCGCCTGGCCCTCCAGCAGGGCGGCTCAATGGGGAGGTGCCGATGAGGCCTCCCCATGTGCCTGCTCAACTGTGCACACGGCCAGTGCTCAGGCTAGGGAAAGGCTGTCCACTTTAGCAGTGCTTCGGCTGCCCCTGGGAAGATGCATTTGTTAATTTAACAACCACAAATCATGGTGAGATTCACCTTATCTTGGGGTGCAAGAAGGAGTCGTGTTGTATCTTGAACATGCTGTTACAAACCCAAAGCAAGACCCACCCTACTCCCAATCGCCAGCCAAGTTACGGGGGGAAAATGGGGTCAGGCAGTGAGAGGATTCCCAAGCTAGGGGTGAGAAACAAGGCAGACAGGGCCCTAGGAGCAGTGGGCCGGGCTGAGGTGCTGGGCAGGCCCTCTGATCTCCCCTGCTGCCCGCCACACACCCAGCCCGCTAGACAGCCACACCCCAGTCCTGCCCTACCCGCTGGGTGCCAGATGCCAGGAGATTCGGGGATGTCATCTAACCAAAAGGATGAGAGGCCAGTGTGGGCGGCAGGGGAAATGTGCGGGAGAAAGGGGGGACTCGGCACCCTGCCTGGTGGATGCAGCCCCCAGCCTGGAGGGGCCACACAGACAGACAGGCAGCCAGGGCTCAGGCCCTGGAGAAGAGCATTGAGTTCTTCAATCCCAGCTCACTGGCTCCGGGTCTCGGCTGCCCCGACCCAGCACTCCCAACTAGGACCCTCGGCCATGGCCCGAGGCAGATGGCATGATACAGGATGCCAGGGAGGAGAAGTGGAAAGGAAGGCAAATGTGCAGGGCTGAGCCATGAGCGGGAGCCTTACCTTTCCGCTCAGGGCCGCGTCTTGGGAAAGGTGCTCCGCGGCCAGGATATGTCCGTGGACCACGTTCTCCACAAAGGTGAAGTCTACCAAGTTCTTCCCGTCTCTGTAGGTGCACAGGGGGAGTTCGGTCATGCTGCATGCCCAGCTGCAAGCCCAGCGAGCCCTGAGCATTTGAGGCTCCACTACCTGTGGTGTAGCAGTGGCCTGCCTTGGCCCAGCCTGCCCTGGGCACACCTGGGGCACTGGGACAGTGGAATACTGAAGGGAGCCTGCCCCGCTCCAGTCTGGGCAGTGGCTCTTTGGCCCTTCCCAGGATACACTGGGCCAACACCTGGCTCCGGCCAGTTTCCTGCCAGTCTCTTGGCAGTCTCTCAAAATGACAGATCAGCGTGGCAGTGAGGCCAGGGATGAGAGAAGCAAAGAACAGGGTAAAAAGCAAGCCAAAAGAAATGGAGAGAGAAGGCACATTTGGGAGCCAGCCACACCTGCTGTCACCTGCAGGGGCCTCTCCACCTGTGTGTTCCTTGAGGGGGGCCGTAATCCTCCTACCCAACACACTTGTCTTCTAGATGCGAACAGTCTGGGCTGATTATTTCTGCATTTCATTTTCCTTAATTTCCAAATAAGGACAGAAATACAGTCTGCCAAGAATGCATACATACTTCAGGGAAAGAAAAACTGAAGTGTGGTGTGTTTTGGGCAGAGGCTGCATTTTCCTGGCCTGTCTGAGGGCCTCCAGGGTTAAGTCGTGAAAGTGACCTTGAGAGGAATGGGGGTCTCTGCAGATGTGCTCAGCTGAGGCCACAGTGGAAGAGGGTGAGCCTTCAACCCCGAAGCTGATGTCACGATACAGATAGTCGAGACACAGAAACCAAGGCTGGCAGACAGCTACGTGAAGGCCCAGGCCAACCCGCAGAAGCTTGGAGAGGGGCACGGACCACATTCGCCCTCGTGGCCTCCAAAGCAACCTGGCTGACACCCGGAATTCGCACTTCCGGCCTCTAGGGCAGCAGCCGAACAGCCTGAGACAGTCACACAAAGCTGCTTGGTCCTGAAGAGCATTCCCTGCACGTGTCTGCTCAGATCTGGAGGGGTGGGGACGGCAATGGGGTGACTCACCCAATTATGAACTTCATCTTGCCCTTTCTTGCTGCCTCAACGAGGGTGGGGACCAACTGGGGGTCCCTTGGGCCAAAGATGCTGTGGGGGCGGATGGCTGTGGTGAAGAAGTTCCGCTCGGGGTCGCTGGCACCCAGTACTGTCTGAAGGGACAGGAGGAGGAGTGTGTTGCTGCAAGCTCAAGGCCCACAGACGGGACGCACAGAACTGCCCACGGGGGACAGGCCACCACCACGCTCTGCTGCCTCAGGTGCCTGCCTGGCCACCTCAGCCTCTGCCGAGCTGCAGGGCCCCACCCCATTCACCCCCCTAATCTGACAGTGTGACATGAGACAGCGGGAATGCAGCCCGGAGAAAGGGTCCTGTCAGGGGGATGTTAAGGAGTCACCTAATGGTGCTAACTGACGTGACAAGTGTGGCTACACGCGTCCCCCAGGCCTGGGCTGCTCAATGCCAAGTGTGCCACCCTGTAGGAAAGCACTCAGGCCTGCAAGTGTGTAACAATCAGAGCTGCCCGGACATGAAGGAGCTCCGTCTTTCAGCAGATTCTCAGAGCTGCCCTGCCTCTTGCTACCTGGCCCTGGTCACCACGGTAATGGAGGAAAGGACCTCTAGTGAGGCCCATCTCCTGCTGAAGGGCCCAGATCCGAGCAATATGGTCACGCTCAGTGGGAGGCTAGAAGCTGCAGCCCGTGGAGTTCTCCATGCTCAGGTGGCTCCATGTGAGACACCTGTAGGTGGTGCTGACCGCCATTTGCGCGAGACACAGACCGGCTGAGCCCAGGCTGCTCCTGGAGGTCTGAGTCTACCTGGGCTCGGCTGGGGAGGAGCCCAGGACCTCAGATGAGAGTGCACAGGGTCTCTGGGGCCCAGGGAGCTCTGAAACCGAGCAGGTTGTCGCTCCACAGAGCAGGGTACCAGAGCTCGGAGCTCAGGGAGGCCATTGTCTCCCAGAGAGCGGTTCTGCTGGAGCCTTCTGCGTGGCAGTCACTGCAAACAGCTAGGAGGCAGCTGGCCATCAGGCCTGGCTGCGCAGCTGTCATGCTGGTCAGCTCTGAGCTCTAGGTGGGCAAGCACGGGCTTGGAGAGGGAGCCTCAGTGGCTCGATACGCTGTCAACACCTGGGAGAGGCGAGGTTGCAGGTTCCCAGAGAGGGTGAGCTCCCTGGGGCTCGGGAGGACCCACGACCTGCAGCTTGGGATGGCTCTAGGGTGACAGAGTCCCCAGAGCCCCAGCACTCGGAAGGCTCAGTGGCTGTTGCTCAACCCAGACTGGACTGGGTCAGCTGGACTGGGTCTGGCTCCCTGTGTGTTACCGTCCTCACAGTGGCACGTACTTTCTCTTGTAAGATCTTAGTCTCTGTGTAGTAGTCAATGGGCTTTGAGGCGTAAGGGAGGTCCTCGGTTCCATTTTTGATGTCGATGCCCTCAAAGACGACACTGGCACTGCTGGTTAAAATGAGTTTCTGGGAGAAGAATGAAAAGAAAACGAGTCAGGAGCAATGACTCTCCCAGGAGCCTGACGGTCACACCTGAGCAAGAGCGACATGGCATCTCCCCTCGCCTGCGCGTGATCTGCTAGAATGCCCTCACTTGTCTCCGTTGCCTCCCTAAGGTAATCCAAAGGTAGCTACCTTCTCTCCCTGCCCCACAGGCCTGAGAGGCAGGGCAGCTTCACATTACAACGGGAGTCTCCATCTGGGAGGATACCTGGCGAACTTCTAGGGAGACTATACAGTGGACCCTCGAGTTACGACCAGCCTGACATATGAACAACTTGGGTTATGACCGGAATTTTAGTTTTAACTTACAACCAAAGTCTTGAATTATGACCTGAATGCCGGCCAGTTGTGCTTCCAAATGGTTTTGGATACAGATTTAACCCTTAAAAGAGTTCTGGGAGGAACATGACAACATCCTTTCCTGTGTGGGGTTAACAGAGAAATCCCGGGCCAGTGTTTCTAAGGACACTGAGATCCGCCTGTGTGCAGGAGAGAGACGCTGAAGGCTGTGGAGAGGAGCCTGAGCCTTCACTGACCAACTTGAGTTACAACCAGCCCTCGGGAACAAACTGAGTTTGTAAGTCAAGGGTCCACTCTATTTGCAAAGGATTGCTGGTTATTCTGATACCAACCTTGCCATGGGAAAACACACGCACATACCAGACAAACACAAACGCACAGATACATGCATGTAACTTAAGAAATGCTGTTCTAATAGGATACTTGCCTAGCATGCATGAGGCCCTGGGTTCACTACAAAAAAAGAAAAGCTATTTTATGAGGGTCCCTAGTTTCCACATATCTTTTTGTTTTTTTTCCTGGTCCTGGTGACTGAGCCTAGAGTCTTTACATTGAGCTACATTCCCAGCCCTTTTTAAAAATTTTTTATTTGAAGACAGGATTTTGTTAAGTTATGAAGGTGCCCAGGCTGGGATTGAATTTGTGATCCTCCTGTCTCAGCTTCCCAGAGTGCTGGGATTACAGGGCTGTACCACCACACTGGTTCTTATCTTTACTGCTTTTACTTAATATTACTTAACATTTTTCTAGAACCCCTAAACAGAGAAAAAGGATGAGACAGAGATATACAATGATCTGAAAAGAAGCCAAACTACCATCATTTGCAGATGATAGCAACATAGTCCATACAGAAAACACAGGTGAACATATAGAAAATATTAGAGTTCAGCAGTCGCTGAATTCAAAACCAAAACAAAATTAACCACATTCCCATATACTAGCAACAACCAAAAATGTAATGTGAAAGTTAGTAAATAAGAAATGTGGTGCATAGGAATAAATTCAACCTAAGATATGTGAGACTTTTATGAAGTACAGTATAAAACTCCACTGGAAGGCATTAAGACAGGGAGAGAGATCTCAGTATTTACGGATAGGAAGACTCAGTGTTACAGATAGCAGTTCTTTCCAAAATTACCCAGAAATTCCATGCAATTATTCGTTAAGAACCTGACAAGCTGATTCTAAAATGTGGGCCGGGCGGGGCAGTGCATGCCTGTGTCACCCCAGCACTAGGAGGCTGAGGCAGGAGGATCCTCACGAGTTTGAGCCCAGCCTGGGCTCCATGGTGAGACACTGCCTCACTTCCCACTCTTCCCTAATGTATGCGGACGATGTCGGCGGGGGCTGACACGTCCTACCAGACACCGTCCCCATGAAGGGAGAACCCTCGAAGCAGCGGCGCAGAGGCTAGCACAGGCCAGCAGAGAGCACGGCAGGGCCCGGGCGGGATGCGAGCACCCAGGACAGGAGGCCTGCTGACCTGGCATCCATACGGAAACGTGCTCCATCTCGACCTCAGCATGCCCACACACAGATTCCTGGGGGAGTAAAGACTTCCGTGTGGAAAGCCACCCTTGAAATCTCCGAGACAAAATACATTAAACGATCTTTCCATCGGTGCTGGACAGTGTCCCTCAGATACAACAGAGAAATGTATTCCCTGTACCTTTACCCACTGAACTCTGCCTCGTTAGAGTGGACTGGGGCCACCTGAGCCACTCTGGGTAAAGCTCAAGCACGGAACGCTGAAGAAGACACATCCAATGCAATAGCACTTTCATAAAGCTTTACAAAATGCAGCTCAGCATGTTCCACTGGCTACCCTCGGAGCAGACAGAAATGATAAAGCCGGACGCAGCACACAAAGGAGGGAGGGCACATGGGGTTTCGACTGTCCCGGGCATCTCTCCGGCAGAGACTTCCTGAGCCCCTGGCCACCCAAGGAGGAAGAAAGCAGGTGGGAATGACAGCACTGCAAAGCATCTTGTCAGGTGCACAGTGCGGGGCCACCGCCGGTGTCACCCACGGGAGTCCAGGTGCTCCTTCGCTGCCTGTCCCGGCCAGGCTGGTGGGGACGCCAGGAGAGGTTGTTGCCAGAGGAGCCCCCAGCTCCCTGCAGGCTTTTCTCCTGGTTGCACAGTGTCTTTGGCACGTGTCACTGTGAGGGAGCTGCTGGACCCAGTGGCCTGGAGCCACAGAAGGGCCACCCCGAGAACCAGGACAGCAAGCTACCACGTGGTGGAAATTCGAATCCCTCAGCCCAAGTCATGACAGGTTTCCACAGGCTACGAGCAAACATGGGTGGGGTGTTTTTTCAAAAGATAAGCAAGGTCTGGAAAACAATGTGGTGGTGCCTCAAAAGGCTAAATACAATAAATCGGAATTCCACATCTGGGCATACCCCAAACAATTCAAAGTTGGGACCAGCTGCTGGTACAATCGTACTCACAGCAGCATAACTCACAGCTGCTCAAATGTGGTCCCTCCATCAAAGAAATTTTATGCAGCCTTAAAAAGGAAAATAAAATCAGATTCGTGTTGCAACACAGATGAGCCTTGAACATTTCGCTAAGGGAAACGAGCCAGTCTCGAAGGGGCACTTGTTGCGTGAGTCACCTCCTGTGAGGCCCCTGAAGTAGCCTGATTCAGAGAGAGACGGTGGGTGGCAGCTGCCCGGAGCTGGGGGACAGAGGAACGGGAGCTGGTTAACAGGGACAGAAGAAAACGGTCCACGGGTAGCTGGTGGTGCTGCTTGCATAACACTGGGAATATACTTAACGCCGCTGAATATATACTCAGAAATGGTTCAAAGGTATACTTACCATACTGAAAATGCTATGCATATTTTGTCTCAATACAAATACAAGGGGTGTCTAAATTCTGTAGCTCTTTCTGACAGACTCAAAGGCTTGTGGGTCCTCCGACGGCCTGTGTGTATGCAGTTGTGATGCTACAGCTGCGGCTAGCCTGGCGAGCGGCCCTTCAGGAGCCCCACTCATGTCCAGGGCTGCACATCTAAGCTCTGGACAACACTTAAGAAGCCACCCCGGCGGAGTCTAGGAAGACAGCAAAAAGCCGCATCCTCGGCTGCCAGCAATGGCCACCGCATATTCCAGAAAGTCTTCCCTGCAGCCTTCCCCTTACCTGAACCCCGGCCTTTTTGCAAGTTTCAATGACATTCTTGGTGCCAAAGAAGTTCACTCTATAAAATAGCTCCTTGTTGTTACTGGACGGCGAGGGTGATGCGCAGTGGAAAACAGTGCTTACGCCTTCCAGAGCTGGGTACAGGTCCTGGCAAAGCATACAAGGACAGCAGTCACTTCTCACATTCTCCACCTCCCCTGGAGGGCTAGTAGGTCCCTTGGCTTTTTATAATTCTGGAATTGACACAGAAACACATTCTCATGAAAGATTCAAACACTACGGAAACACATGAAGAGAACAACTTGTCCCTTTAATCGCCCTCTCCCATTAGCTAGTCCCCAATAGGACAGAGACAGGAGCGTGATCATGGTTATCACCGAAAGGAACACAAGCACGGATTGTTCTCCTAAACAATCACACAACAATGATCCTGAAGCAGCTCCGGTAGACTGGACACTCTGCATAGTATCTGCATTCAAGTTTCCCCAGCTGTCCTGAATTTAGGATCGAGGATCCAATCATGGATCACACATTGTATTTAGACCTTATGCCTTCTCTATGTGCTTTAATCTGGGACAATTTCCTGTCTTTCCTTTTCTGTCTTCTGTAACCTGCCATTTTTCAAGGGATCGGGATGGTGATTTTCTAGACTGTCCCTGACCTGCCTGTGTTTCCTCAAGGTGACATTCAGGCTTAATAGGTTGGGCAAGAATCCTGCTCTAGTGGCGGTGTGTCCTTCTCAGGGTGCCATAGCTCAGGGGCCCACATGTGTCCCAGCATCGTGACACTAAGATGGATCATTTGGTGAAGGCGGCAGCTGCCAGATTCTGGCCACCCCAAAGCTCCCTTTCCCCTCTGCAGCCAACAAGCAATCTGTGAATGACCATCCTTCTGGTGGGTCGCAGCTCTGACGCTGCTCCTTGTCCGGGACACTCACTTTCCTGGCTGCAGAAAGGTGCAAAGACATCTACTCCTGGCACCTTCTGTAAGGTAAGCTTCCCTTTCCCTCACCTGAATTTTTCTTTTCAGTCTTTCTATGGACATATAGTATTTCAAAAAATTCAATATATAACAATCCACTACTATTATCTTTTGAGTGTTCTGTTTTCTTTTTGGTGGTGCTGGTGATGCAAGTGGGGCCTTACACAGGTGAGGTAAGGGCGCTAGTGCTCTACCACCGAGCTACATCCCCACTCCTCCCCTGGGGTTACCGAGTTTGCTCAAGTGGCTCACAGAATGCAGTGAGACCCTTCCTCATGTTCCCTGCTTGCTGTGAAGGATCTCACTAGGGCTGGAGAGGAAGAGATGCCCAGGGTGAGGTGTGCAGGGGAGGAGCGGTGATCAGGAGCCTCCATGCATTCAGCTGGTGGGAAGCCACCAGAGCCCGTGTTCTGGGCTTTCATAAGCAAGACTGAAGCATGGACAGCCAGGTAGAAATGAGATCAGGGGAAAAGGGCATAGGCCTGAATGTCTGGATTCTCTTGGACTCTACAGCCCGCCTTGTGGGGGGAGTTAGGAAGGAGGAACTATGGACAAAACATATATGCGTATATATACAGGTAAACACGTACACATCTACCATCTAAACACACACACACACACACACACACACACGCACACAGAAACATATCCACATTATCTCGTAGGGTATCAGCTCATGATGCTTTAGAGGAAAAAACAGCCAGATATAGATCAAGTCCTTAATCTAATAAAAATGTAATACCAGCCACATATGTGACTCTAAATTTTGTAGCAGCTACATGAAAAAAGTAAGAAAGAGTCTCAGAAGGTGTAGGCAAGAGGGTTGTGAGTTCGAGTCCTGCATGGGCAACTTAATGAGACCCTGTCTCAAGATAAAAATATAGAAAGGGCTAGGAATGTAGGTCAGTGGCTGAGCACCCCTGGGTTTTAAACCCCAGTACTGCAAAGCAAAAAAAAAAAAAGGGAGGGAGGGAGAGTAAAAATAGGTGAAATTAATTTTTATGTAAAATATAATGTTAACATAATAAATATAAAAGTTATTTATTTATTTGTTTGGTTGGTTTTTTTAGACAGGGTCTTGCTGTGTAGTTCAGGCCAGCATTGACTTATTGTGTAGCCCAGGCTGGCCCGGAACTCACAGCGATCCTCCTGCCTCAGCCTCCCAATTGCTGGGATTACGGGCATGCACCACCACACCCGGCCAATATAAAAGCTACAAATGCAAGATTTAGGTTTCTTGTTTTCAGTCTTTGAAAGCTGCTATAGATTCTACACTTACAGGGCCTCTCAATTCAGACTGGGAGGAAACAGCAGATGGATGGAGAGGGCAAGTTAAACACCTCACAGGGTGCGGTCAGCAAAACCCAGAGCATGGGAAAAGCTGCAGGGCGATGTCGGAGGTTTCTGCCGAAGGGGTCCTGGAAATTGAGAGAGACTTAACTGTTTCGAGCAAATGCCTAGTTGTGACTTGGTTTGGTGCCTTGTTTGGACAAACAATGATACTAAAATCAATAAGCCATTCAGGGATATTTGAACAAGGGCTTACATCGAGGAACTTTTATGAATGGATTTTTATCCTTTAGAGAAAATACGAAAAATTTTACAGATAAAATGATATATCTACAAATGGCTTCAAAATAATCTGTGATTAGAAATGTTATATTATAGTGATACATGTGTACTCAGTTTATAGCAGCGCAATTTACAACAGCTAAACCATGGCAACAGCTGAGACACCCACTGACAGATGAATGGATACAGAAAATGTGGTCTGTATACACAGTGGAATATTATGCAGCCACAAAGAAGGATGAATTGGAGCCATTTGTAGGGAAATGAATGGATCTTAAGGCCATGCAGTTAAGTGATTAAATCAGACACAGAAGGTTAAATATCGCATGATTTTGCTTAATGAGAAACTCATGATATCAATAAACTGAAGAGTAAAATAAAAAAGGGAGAGATAGAGTTGAGGAAGGGGGGAGGAAGGGAAAGGGCACCCAAACTGATCAAGACCATATGTATACATAGATATATAGAGAGACTGTATATATAAGAACAACATTCATGGCAGAAAGGGCAGTAAGTGCAAAGGTCCCGAGGCAGGGAGTTGGTTGGTGAATCCGAGGAGAGCACAGAGGCAGGTGTGCCTGGGGCAGAGCAATGGTGGAGCCCATGGGAGGGAGTGAGGCCGCAGGAAGCCTCAGAGAGGTACAGGCCTCTGCCATATACTCTCCACGGGTCTGGAAGCACTGGGGATTTGTGTGTGAAGCAGAGATGGGATCTCATTCCTGCACTCAGAGGGCATAATATCTAGGTGGTGGCCTGGAGCAGAGGGGAACAATGATGGAAGCGAGCAGTTGCTAGACTGGTGGTGGAGTGGACAAGGCTTACTGCTGGACTGGCGGGAAAGAGAAGGGGTCAGGGTGAGTCTAGGGTTTGGGCCCAATGAGGCCCGGGACGGAGACCAGGAAGACCCAGCAGGAGCAGGTGTGCCGCGGGCCGGGACAGAGCTCGGCAGGGAACCCACACTGGAGACTGGGACGCCCAGGGGCAGCGGGGCGCGGTGGGGATTCTCATGCCTTGCTGAGGTGAGTACAGAGCTGAGGAGCGGCTTCGAACAATCTGGCAACGTCTACGACGCTTCAAAATATCGGCACCATGACAGCACGGGTGCAGCTTGAAAGCACAGCTTTCAAGGGGAAAGACAGTAGGGCCACCCACCGTAGGGTTCCATTTCTAGGAAATTTCCAGAACAGGAAGTGAAGGGCAGAGGGCTTCCTTCTGGGGGGATGAGACATCCTGCAATCAAGGAGAATGGCTGCACAGCTTCGTGCATGCGCTGCTTTCCACCTTCACACATGGGATGCTGACGGTGTGAGTTATGTCTCAGTCGAAGGCCACGACTCCCTGAGGCCCAGCACCCACACTTCCACGTGCACCCCACAGCGTGGCTCACACGCTGCAGCCCATGACCTCCTGGGCAAACTTCCTGTCACGTCTTCTCCACGCACATGGCCACATCTGTTCTTTTTCTTGGTACCGGGGATCGAACTCGGGTCCTTGCGACCGCAGGGCAGGCGGTGGCACCACTGAGCTGAATCCCCGGCCCCTACATCTGTTCTTTAAAGTGTGGGCCGCGGATGCTGTCACGGCTCCATGGCAGTGGAGTTGCCGTGATGCAGACAACTTACTCTTTCTAGGTACTAACAGTGCGGTGCATGGTTAACCCTTTCCCACAACCTTTTCACTTTCCGGACAGAGGGATGACCTTTGAACGGTAATCTGGCTGGTCCTGGCCCCGGGGAGGCTGCAGGCTCCTTACCTGTTGGCTGCAGAGGTCGCCCAGGAAGAAGCGCACGTGGGGATTGTCAAAGCCTTGCCGGACATCAAACACATTGACGGTATAGCCTCTGGCCAGCAGCTGCTCCACCATGTGCTGTCCCAGGAATCCTGAGCCTCCAATCACTGTGCACTTCTTAGACTGCAGAAAGAAGGGTGGCCAGAGGCCCAACTCAGTGAGGACCAGGATAGAGAGCCCGCCTGATACACCGTGAGCCACTGCTATGTGGGCATGTTTGTTGGAAACTCTGCCTGAGCCCATGTGGAAGCTTTATATAATCCTGGTGCTCTGTCACCAGGGCCACCTCCTCCCCTGGGATCAGCAAAGATGCAGGCGTCGGGGGGGGGGGACACACAGAGAGAGACAGAGCGGGGGCAGGCACGAGCAGATGGTACTCAGGTGGACCTCGTTGGATCTGATGGCACGATCTGAGCTCTGCAGTGAGCGAAAGTAAACAGAACCACCTATGATCAAACCTGGACCACCTGGGAAAAAAGAAAGCAACCTAAGGTGGTACCTTCTTGCTCCCAATATCTAAGCCATTCTCCAGGCAAGAAAACCAAGCAGCCACTTGAGAGTTTGTGCTGAAAACATGAGAAAGACAGTCTCCACACACACAGGAAACAGTCCCTCTGCCTCCCTCCCACAACGGGCAGGGCAGGACTGTGTGGCGCTGAACTGTGGGCACCTCGCCCTTCCGGTCTCAGCCGAGCCACCGAAGACTGGCCCATGGCCTCGCAGCGGGGTGCAGGCCCAGGGCTCTGCTTTCCTTTCTTGGGATTAGGCACAAGTCACGCCTGACCGCCTGGCTAAATTCCAGCCCTGGGAGCTGGGGACGATGAAAGGACAGAGGAGCACACAGGCACTGAGGTATCTGGACCCTCAATTATACAAGTGACCAATCAACTTCGCAGCTTCACTCCTGTGTAGTAAGTCAAAGGGACCGTGTGGAAACTATACATCCTACTCCACTGAGGTGCAGCCACCTCTGCAAATGAGTGGGCTACCAGATGGGAACACCAGGGCAGGAGGGGGACAGCGCAGGCTCAGAACCTCAGAAACCAAAATGCACTGGCTGTTGCCTGCTGAATAATCTGGCTCCAAGTATCCCCAAAGGAGGCCTAGGGCTATCCTTCCTCCCCAGGGTATTCCCCAAACTCCATCTGGGGTTTCTTAACATGACAAACACCCATTTTTCTCAGCCTGCCAGGTAAAGACTGCAGTGGTCCGTGGCTGGGCTGTTTCCTGTAACAAAAGCTATCACTGTAACTCTTGTCCTCTCTCTGTAGGGAAATGAGTAATTTTGGTCCCAAATTTATTTCATAAGAAAGTGAAAATAACCCATGGAAAAAAGTCTCCAATCATTTTATAACTGTTTATTTTTAAAACCACTGATCTACTGCATGTCCAATATTTATTTGTGCAGCTCTCCAAAATGTTCCCCATAAAATAAGAATGTACAGGTTTGGGCTTATTCTTGGGAGTAAAACTTGAACTGATTGTAAATGCTTTTAGGATGCACCCACAATGCACTGACCATCTGTCTTCGAGACTGCACTTTTCAGTAACTCATAAAAAGCAATTCTCATATTCAGCAAAATGTACAAATGATATTTTACAATAATTTCATTTGTAAGAGAGAATGATGTAGGCCACTGGGTTTTTTTCCCCAACTCTTCTGGTTTTCCGCTGCCTTTAGCAGAATTTATTTCTAGGAGGTCTTATGCAAAACCATGTATATAAATCAAGACACAAACATTCTTTTAGTAGTTTACGTTTAGAACTTTTTCTACCTGGGAATTCAATCAATGAGAGAAAAGAAGCTATCCTGAAAACTACACAAATTTGAAACTGGATGACAATGGCAGTTTGTGCAACTTTTTTTGGGTTGCCAAACAGCAATAAATTCTTAATTTAGCAGACTCCAGCTAGCAAATAGTAAGCCCAGGAGAGGCCTTACTCGTCTCTGTACCCAAAACAGAGTGCTCTAGCAGCCAGGGATCCTTAACTCGCTAACATTCCGTAGGGACACATTTCACCTTGATGTGACTTCAATTTCAGTAGGAGTCAATCAAACTGAGCCCCTGTGGATCTACGTGAAAAATCTCCAGGAGGCCCGACAACTACCAGGCTCAATGATTTCTTCAAGTCCCTTCTGAGACCTGTGATGCTAGACCTCAGGAGGTCTAGCAGCGGTCACTGTCACTCTGGAGGCCAATAGGGGACATATACCTCAGCTGTTAGCCCCACGGGACTGCAGCCGCATGGCTAAGCCCAGGGGACACCAGCTGGCGATCCCCCAGCACGGCCCGGACCGAAGCACAGGGTCTAGAGCCAAGAAACTGCTGTTCTTTGAAACTTTTGCATTCTGATGGAGTCTTTTACACAGCAAAAAGTAACTGATATATCTTAACGAAAGCTATGTATCTTAAACATACCCAGCACCAACTGATTTAATAAATGTATTAGATAGTTTTTAACGCACAGGCAAATATCAAAGTATGCTCTCAAGTCCCCCTACCCAATTGTGGTTGACCGTTTTATGTCAGTACTCACTCTGGCAATGTCCCCTGTCAAACGTGTCCGCATGACCTGGTCTCCCATGGGCTCACCGACTGCTTGTTCCATGGTGGCTCAAACTATGGTCTTGTTTGCAATCAACTTTTCATCCTAAAGACAGAGATGGACACTGATATTACACAAATGAAAACAACCTTAGCTGTGTGTGTCTGGGGGTGGATGCCACCGCCCCTGCTCCACTGCCAGCCAGCATGAGGGCATGGTCTGCACTGTGGCTTGGCCACAGCACTCCCGCTCCAATCACTCTTGCCTCCTCTTTGGTGCTCGCTAGCTGGGGGCAGTGCACAGGACTAGGGAGTCCTGGGTTCCAGGCCTGCTTCTTTCATCAACTGCACAAACCTGCTCCACTCACTTGTATTTGCTGCAGCTCAGTTTGTCCATCAATGAAATGGACTCGGGTGCTCATCTCTGGGATGTCAGGGCACGGGATGCGGAGGCAGGTGGTATAACGAGAGACAGAATTCTCCTGCTTGGTAAGTGAAAGTCAGCCTCGCCAGCCAAGGCGGTGCACACCTCTCATCCCAGCCCTCTGGGAGGCTGAGGCAGGAGGGTCACAAGTTTTAGTTCTGCCTGGGCAACTTGGTGACTTAGCGAGACCCTGTCTCAAAATAAAGAAGGGCTGGGGATGTAACTCAACGTGAAGGCCCTGGGTGCTAGTAAAAAACAAAGCACAACAAAGGAAAAAATGTGAAGGCCACCCTGACTATGCACGGAAGAACTCAGAGTGTGTGGGTCCATGAGAAACCTGTGGGAATTGGTCAAGGCCTTCCTGACAGTCCTGAGGGTATGCTCCCTTCTTCCTTTTCTGGCAACACTGAGTCACAAGCACAAAGAAGCCATTTCTTTACGAGATATCTGGCTCTGTATCTATGCTTTCCTGTAGGCGCAATTTACTTAGTCATGGATCCCCTAAGATGCAGGGATGGCAGAAGCCACCAGGAAGAAACGAGCCGAGCCGGCCTGCGAAGTGACAGGTTCAGAGAACGCCACCGGGTAGGCTGGCAGCCAGCACTGGGCCTCAAACACCATGACTTCTCCAATCCAGCTGCACAGCTAGAGTCTTATACTCGCCACTTTCAACCGCCAGCCACTGCCACGTGTCCCCGCAGGAACGGGTCTGGAGAGTGCATGGCTTCTGTGGGCATACTGAAGGCTGAAATGGCCATGCGACAGGTGCCCGCGGGGACCTTTGGGAGAACAGTTTCCGAAACTCGCACCAAAAGTTATCAGGAAAACGTATTTCAAAGCTTGCCCTTTCCTGGGCCTTCGTACAACACATCTAATGAATGACCAAAGTCAACCTGCGGTTAGGTATATGCCTGTCCCTTCCTTCCCTTTGTCCCACAGTCCTCTGCACACTGCTAGGGGACCCATCGTTTGTTCAGCCCACATCCAAGGGGCTGGGACCAATTCACTGGGCTCACTGAGTAGCAGGACCAAAGCAGTGCTCTACTGTACCCGCACCGCAGCTGCCCACTCCGGGAGCTCTTCAGGCAGAGGCTTTGTTCTTGGTGTGGCAGTGCCACAAAACGCCCTCTGGCAGCTTCTCACCCAATTTTCCCAGAGCCTAGGGAAGCAAGCAAATGTGGAGACAGATAGCCTTCAATGGGGTCAAGCAGGCCCCCACAGCTGGCTTCCAACCTCACCAAGGTGACTGAGGACCTCTGCTAGCAGGAGCTACGATGGTGTCCGCCCACTGGCCAAGCAGGGCCAGCCAGCCCACCCGGGAGGGCTCTGCTCCTGGTGGCCTCTGCCCTCCGGCCCCAGCCCCTCAGCGCCTGTGAAAAGTGCAGATCACTGCCTTCTTCAACGCAGCTGTTTGGCAATAAATGAATGAATCCAGAGCCCACTGCCTGGATCTGATCCTGGTTCTACCTCTCACCAGGAGGAATCCCTGTGGGCAGCTATTTCAGAGACCTGCATTTCATTCCTTATCTGCCAAGTGAACAGCCTCTAAGATCATTATGAGAGTTAAATAAAACTGAACGAGAAAGTGTATGCACAGGCCCCCGCCAGCCCCAAGTGCCTGCTGACACTCCATGAAAGGCAGCTATTATTACCATCCTACATCTCAGTTTCTCTGCAGCAGGCCCCACCCACCTCCCTGAGGGTCCCTTAGTGCCTCCCTCCGCCACCTCACCCCTCCACGTTTACCTACAGCCCGCAGGGAATCCTGCTCTGGAAATGGCGCACTGAGTCATGCACAACAGAGAAGCATCCAGCACGTGTGTAGGGGGTGACGAAGACAGTGTGGTGCAGTGACACAAAAAGGGAGTGTGAGGCTGGGAAATAAACTTAGGTAGGAAGGAGTGCTTCCTTCTCCCGCCTCACTCAAGGAATAGGGTAAGGAAGGAGCCCAAAGAGCGGCACTCACTTCTTAACGGGAGCAGAGACAGATTTAATCAGCTCCCTTGCCTTAAGCTTTGCGTGAGAAGTAGGAAACGCATGGGCCACAGAAGGCTTGCTTAGCATGTGGAAGGATGACCAAAATCTAATCTGTGGCCCTCCAGCAACAGGGAGAATATGGGGCTTTTTCTCTTAAGATCTCTGTGACAGCCACAGGGCAGGAACGCTTTGGCATCTGAGGGACTGTGTGGCCAGGGTGGGTTTGTAGGTTTAAGCCTTGACACTGGTTGTTTCAAAAGAATCAGATGAGAAAAGCCATCTCCGGAGACATCTCTCAACACAGAGGGGGACCTTGGGGGAGGGGACCAGCTAAAGCAGACTCCGCCACCGAAGGGCCTCAGGACTCTAGGGAGGCACCAGCCGGGGCTCCCCTTGACACGCTGGCCCAGGACAGTGGAGCTGGCCATGCCCTGAGCCCTGGAATCCGTGAATGTGCCCATCCATGGAAAAAGGGTCTTTGTAGATGCAGGGGTGATGAGACAGTTATCCCGATGGGCCCTAAATCCAACCATAGGTGTTCTTATAGGAGGCATACAGAGGAGAGACAGGGAGAAAGGAGGCCATGAGAAGACAGAGGCAGAGACTGGGGTGAAGTGGCCACAAGTTAACGGAAGCCGGGAGGGGCAGGAAGGAGACTCCCCTAGAGACTGAAGGAGCACAGACCAGGGGCACTCTCTGCCTTTAGACTTCTGGTCTCCAGAACTGGGAGAGAATCAGTTTCTGTTGCTTTCGGTCCCGCAGTTTGTAGTCTGTTGTTACACCATGCCCAGGAAACGAATGCAAGGATCTTTTGCAGTCCTGAGTCCAAACTGCAGCTGCGGACTCCACAGCTCTGCTGTACCGCGAGCAAACGCCACAAAGCCCCGATTCCCCTCCTCGCTTGCTAGAGAAGGATGTAGGAGGCGAAAGAAGAAACAGATCCTGCCCCAGCGCAGTGGCACCACTCAAACAATGACCACACTATTCTTAGCAAACCCGCCTCTTGTCAAAACAAAACCTACCCGAGTTGTCTCGAATCATATACCAGTTCTTTAAAAGTTTGCAAATACTGTAAGTCAGGTAATTGGGGTGATAGGTCAGCTGTCTCTAGGGCGTGGGGTACACAGGACTAGCCTAGAAAATGAGTCAAATCCCATTGGCAGCCCTCTCCCTGCCCACCCACCTAAATCCACCATGCCTTATACTATTCGGGTTGAAGGCCAAAAGGCACACGAAAAGGTGCTAATACTAATCACCGGGCAAACGCAAATCCAACCATGAGACACCACCTCATACCCACACCCGTTAGAGGCCACTATCAAAAGCCAGAAAGCAGAAAGCAAGTGTGGTGAAGATGTGGAGAAGCAGATCCCTCGTGTACTGTGGACGGCAGACAGCAGTGCAAAATGGCACGGGCATTGGGGAAAGCAGTGTGGCAGTTCCTCAGAAAATTGCACTCACACCTACCATATGATCATATAAGCTCACTTGCGGGTGTGTGTCCCCCAGAGGAAAACAGGGACTTGGAGCAGATATTCACGCATGCCTGCTCATAGCAGCATTATTCACTAGCCCAGGTGGAAGCAACCCAAGTGTCCACTGATGGATGGATGGATGGATGGATGAACAAGATGTGGTCTAACCATACAGTGGAATCTTAGCCATACAAATGACTGAAGTTTTGTCCTACGCCAAGACCTGGATGAACCCTCAGAACACAATGCTGAGGGAAGTAAGACAGCTGCAAAAGAACACGTGCAGCCTGAGTCCCCTTGAGAGGGACCTATAGTAGTCAGACTCATGGGGACTGACAGGCAAATGGCAGTCATTAGAGCTGGTGGGAGGGGATGACTGATAATGGGTAGAGCTTCGGTTTCAAACAAGACCAAGAGTTCTACATTGGATGGTGGTGATGGCTGAGCTATAATCCGAGTGTACTTACTACCACTGAGGTCTACACCTCCAAATGGCTCAAATGGTATATTTCCATTGAGTCTATTTATTTTACTATACACATACACAGGCAAATAGAATAGCTGTGAATACAGAAAACAGGACCCCAAAAAGCAATGTTCTAGGGGCGGGTGGATTGTAAAGACTCAGACAGACATGGGACACCTCAGGTCTGGTTTCTCTAGAATGACAGCTCTTTGGATCCACTCAAAACCAAGAAGTGTACCCAGCAACTACACTGGGACAGTCTCAGGCTAACAGGAATCTAAGAAAAGAGGCCCACATTGCACTGGTGGAATCCAGGAGACCCACCTTGGGGCTGCTGACGGGATCCATAAAGAGAAAAGTGAGCTCACCCAACCTCTCCTCCTTGCTGGGGAAAGTTCCAGATCACTGACTCCCGGAGACAAAGGGAGGAGCAGTCTAGTCTGTTTCAAACCAAAGAGAAGAGAGCTCCCCTCCTTTGAAGAAGCAGGTCTAGGGCCGGGGATTTCGCTCAGTGGCCTTGCGCCTGCCTCTGAAGTGTAAGGTCCTGAGTTCGATCCCTGGTTCTGAAAAAAAAACAAGAAGTGGGTTTCCCCTTTCAGAGATCAAAGACGTGACACAGGGGACAAAACACATGGATTAGGATCAGTGAGGCCAACTGGGAGGGCAAGACAGTTGCAGCCAGTATTGTGCTGCCACAATCCAGCTCTCCGTGTCTTTCCACGGACCTGCCGGGACTGTATGTTCTGCCAGCCATTCCTCTCTCTGCTGGTCTGTTTTTAGGACAGGTTTGAATTTCTGGGGGCCACTCAGGAGCCCCTCCACATGCCTGTGTGCTGAGCTCCCACTCCTGGCTCCGCCCAGAACACCTTCCCTCTTCTCCACAAGCCGTGTGCCCCTCACCCCAAGGCCTCACCCACCTGCCCCTCCGCGACAAGCCCCACATCAGCAAAAGTGAGCTGCTTCCTCAGCCCTGTCCTGCCTCTCACCCCCACATTGCTGCTGTAGCCTCATCTCGAAAACAGCCACCTCAGGGCTGCCAGGGGCTCAAGTGTGCCCCAGGGGTACACGGGGAGCTGTGACTTGCACATTCATCCTGCGTGGACAAGTCACCGAATGTCCACCGCTGGAGCCAGAAGCCGAATCAAACGCAGCCCCGACCATCAAGGAGTCCACCATCTCACGTGGGACACTGGGAATCATGAGGGGCTGCGGAGAACCCCGGTGTGCGCTGCTGGGTCAGGGCAGGTGATCTGAAAGTTAAGTTCTAGGGCTCCAGAGAAGCGAGTCAAACAGGAGGTGTCGGTCCCCTAAAAGACAGTCTGTAGCCAGGGATGGCAAGGACGAGGCAGCGGCACAGGGCCAGTACACTTTGGTAATGTGACCAATGTGTCACAGCGAGCGTGATGGCTGGGAGCAAAGGTGACAAGTGCAGGGGCCGCGTGGCCTTTGAAGTTGTAGGTAGGGCTGAATACCCTGGCCCTCGGTAGGCCAGGTGGGGGTGTGAGCGAATCAGACAATGAACGCTGCCCGGGACCTTCGAGACGCCAGGGCTTTGTCACGTAGGTATGCAATCAGGCAGACAGTACTGGTCTCATTCAACACATGAGGAACCGAGGCTCGGAGAGAGGCCAAGGGACTTGCGCAGCGTCACACAGCCCAGGCAGAACTGGCACGTCCTCCTTGCACTCTGTCGGGCTGCTGCCCTGCGGACTGCCTGGGAAGCTGGGTATTAGCCCTGCTCTGCGACAAAATGCCCGCGATAATCAACTTCAAAAGCGGAAAGCTTTACTGTGGTTCGGTTTTGGTGTGGCGAGTTGACCGCACCGCTGTGGGCCTCCAACGGCGGCACAGTACATGGCGGTGGGTGCCTGCAGGGGACTCACCGCTTGCTAGCTGGTCAGGAAGCAGGCAGAGAAAGGGAGAAACGGGGTCCCAATGCTCCCTTCAAGGGCCTGCCCCTAGGCCCCACCTCCCCATAGTGCCACCAGCCTTGGGGGGCGTTTAAGAGCCAAACTATGCAAGAGGGTGTGGAGGGACAAGGCTAGGGCAAAGCTGGGCGGGAGGCTCATGGGGACTTTACTCCCCAGTAAACAGCCTCTGAAGTAAAGTTTACAAGTAGGGCGCTGATCTGAGAGAGCTGCTCGCTGGGAAGATGAACCCCACGGAGCAGTGGGAGCGCAGAGGTGAGATGGCAAACGGGACGACTGGTCCAACCCGGCCCTGCCTTACTGAGCACCTAGTATGTGCCCCCCTCGCGTGGGATCCCAGGTACTGCAGGGTCGGCAGTGAAGGAGATAAAGCCGCCTGCCCTCCCAGCGCCTGGCTCCCAGTGAACGAGCGAGTGAAGCCCGCAGGTCAGAGGCGACGAGCGCCACGGGAGAGACCAGGGCAAGCTGGCGGGCTGGGGTGTGCGGCAAGCTCGGCGAAGGCCCGTAGGAGAAGGATGGAGGGCAGCGGCCGGGGAAGCGGGGCGAAGACTCGCAGCAGAGCCGCGCCTGGCATCGGGGTGTCCGGGGTTGCAGCCGCCCCACTCCCAGGCCCGGAGGCTTCTCCGTCCGCCTGGAGGCGGGGGTGGGAGGACCTCCCTGGCGCCTCTCGTCGCTCAGCCCCCGGCCCAGCTCCTCCTCCTCCCGTCCTGCCCTGCAGCCCGCACCGCGGCAAGGCCACGACCCTACCTGTCGGCAGGCGCCCTCCAACCGGCCTCGACTTCTCCACCACCCGCACCTTCGAGCTCCAGCCCCGAGGGCCTCCTTTTCCTCCCCCGGGAGGCCTCCTTTTCCTCCCCCGCCCTAGTGAGCTGAGAATCGGCAGAGCTTCCTCCACCAAGGGGATTGGCCCCGTCCGGCGCTGGCTCAGCCAATCGGCGTTCATAGCGTGACCTTGCCCAATGAGGCTAGTTCTCAGCCGCTAAAGCACCGCCCCCTGCCCTGGGCCCGGGCTTCGCCAGGTGAGTCCCACCCACTCCCGCCCTGCGCCAATGGGAAGCGGGGCGGCGCGCGCGGGGCGGTGGGGACGGCGCCTAGTCAGTGTACGCCGTTGCCGTAACAACGGCCTTGGAGTCAGTCGGCGATGGTGAGTGCTGGCCGCCTGTTCGCGCCTAGGCCGCCAGACTGAGCCCTTCCCAGCCCCCGGTCCGGCCACTCCTCCTCTTCCGCGCCTTTCCCTGGCTCGGTGCGCCCAGCGCTCCCTTGAGCGGTGTCCCGGAAGGGTAGGGTAGACGCTAGAGCTGCCGGCCGCCTGGCTGGGCCTTCCTTTCCCATCGCTCCCCCTCACCCACCGCCGGCCCGCGCCTCCTCTGGCCTTGCCCCGATCCCCGCGATCACTCTCCCTGTTTAGAGAAATCTCAGGTTCCCCGTGGGCCCCGACCCCTCTCAGACCCTGGCCTGCTGGCCACCACACTCTGCCCAAGTTTTCGCCCCGAGCTGGGAGGTTTATGTCGTTGATTGTTAACGTGTGTTTTGCAATTTCAGTATGGGGCATTCAGGAGCTTTGAGCTTCTTGGAGGAAGCACTTAGGTGCTGAGCTGATTGGGTTTTATTACTCCATACTGAAAGAATATATATCTTCACATTTGGCCAAATTTAGAAGTGATTTCAAAGCCAAAATTCTTTTTGGGAAGCAAAATTCTACGGGCGGGCATTGCAAGGGTATTTCCAGAATCAGGACCCCCGAGTTTAGGAAGAGGTGAATATCTTTAGTTATCCAGAGTCAGTTCCTTGGCCCTTTGGGGATGATTTTCAAGAACAAGGGAATCTCCTTACTTCTAAAAACAATAGGAAAGAAAAGGGAGGTACAGAAGTTGTGGAAAGATTAATCGTTTTATTTTTTTCCAGCAAACTCATCTTTCTTGTTAAGCAGAGCTTTGGAATCGGTTGGTATAAACTATTTAAAAATAGATATGAATGTTTGATAATATCTTACATAAAATACGAACTGCCTTACTCAATATTGTGCTCACGTGTTTAATGTTTAAAGGCCTCTAGTTTTAAGAAGGCAAACATGGCGTCGAGTGCCCAGAGAAAAAGGATGAGTCCTAAGCCAGAGCTTACTGAAGAGCAGAAACAGGAAATCCGGGAAGCTTTTGATCTCTTTGACGCAGATGGGACCGGGACCATTGATGTGAAGGAGCTGAAGGCAAGCTCTGCACATTGCACAGACCGCCTTGCCTTTCATCTGCCTCTTCCTTGTCTTCTCCCTGTCACCATTCTACCTTTTGCCCTCTTTTCCCTGAAAAAGTAACAGGGGAGAATGTGCTGTGCTGTTTTCCTGCCTTTACTTAACTCAAGTGTTACTAAAGTTGATTGCAAAGATCAATTAGATCATTGCTGTAATTTTCCCCAGTCACTTTAACATTACTGTGCCAGATGCTGGGTTAATACCTTCAACAGTTATTTTTGCTCCAGCTTGGTTTCCAGGTGCTTATTGAGATGATCTATTTTCATTGTAGGTGGCAATGAGAGCCCTGGGCTTTGAGCCCAAGAAAGAAGAAATCAAGAAAATGATAAGTGAAATTGATAAGGAGGGGACAGGCAAAATGAACTTCAGTGATTTTCTGACAGTGATGACACAGAAAATGGTAAGTTAACTGAGATAATTAGTGTATTTCCACCCTGATGGTAGATACATTTGAATCTAGATATGCAAGTGGCTTCAGTGAAAAGTCAACACCATCTGGAGTTCATCGAATAAAGGGTAGTGTTTTCACCTGAGCTTTAGCTCGAACAGCTACAGAAGTCCTTTTCCCTTGTAAAGTAGTAGGAATACCACTACTTTCACTTCTGGGTTATTATTTTTTCCAGCTGATAGATCAGCGTGATTACCACATGCAGCAAAACCCGTAACCACCCAACATTTTTAAATGCTTTTCCTTTTGCCAATCCAAAGCCCATGTACTTTGAAACTCCAAACTCTTCTCTTTCTGGTGTTTGATTCTGGGTGGCTCAGCCTGAGAGGTAGCTGCTTCCGCTGTGCTTTTCACTGCAGTGGGGATATGGTTCTTCAGCACTTCCGAGGTTGCATGCATCCCTCCCTGCATTGAAAGGATTGAGAGAACAGGAGCCATCGGCCCCTGTGGGGCCTGCATCTAAGGCCTTGCTCGTTCACTGCCTCCAGGGCCTCCTCAGTGTGGCCGCACATTCTCTTTGCCTAAAGAGAGCCGACCCTGCCCCAGTCCCAGACATGTTTCCCACAGCACGGCTCATACCTCTTTCTTTAACAGCTGTGTTGCTTTTAAACCATCTAATCCTACTGACATTCTTCCTGGTGGGCTGACTTTTAGGACAGTAGGAGGCTCAACATTGTGTAACCAACTAGTAAAGCCATCCCCCGTTTTAGGTTGCTTTCAGATTGCTCTTATTAGGGCCTCTCTCCATTTTTAGCTCCTGGCAGGTGCCTTTCTGGGTAGTTGGGGTTTGAGATCTTGGAGACTACTTTCTTCTTTTGTAAGAGTACTGAGGGCCCCGGGAACTCTGTAGACTAGTAAGTAAAATAGCCCACGCTTCCTCCCAGCATCCTCTGTGCACTAAGAGGATCCCCTTTCTATCAGCTTATGTAGTGTTTTTTCCCTAATTTTAACTCTGTTCCCTGCTCCTATATTTTAAAAACGAATCCATATCTCTTGGGTTTATAATGACAATGTTTTAGGTACTATCCTTAATCTGTTTAACCTCTGGGTTTATAATAATTAAGTTATCCTCTTGTCCTACCCTAAATGATATTTGCTCTCCTGTGACCTCTAGGACCTGTGTCATGAAGGCCATCAATGAGGCCCTGTTCCCTTGGGGACAGTGTGGAACAATTAGGGCATGAATCCAAGAAGGTCATTCCCTCACAAGTCCGTCTTTGGATTCAGAACTGGGGACAGACGGTTTTGAGCCAGAGAACTAGAGCACAGTTCGGAACTGCTGGTGCTGCACATTGAAAAGCTAAGCCCCGGTTCACTGCAGAGACCCACAGCCTGGACCTGTGGAGCCCAGCAGCTGTGCAGCAGGGAGGCCTGGCCTCCCCATGTAGTCCAAGCCCTTGTGCCTGACTCTTGAGATTCCTTGGCTTGTGCAACAAGCAGACACCTCTTCCCCCTGCATTCAGAGCTAGCAATAAAATAGATATGGGACACGATAGGGCAGTAGGTAACAGCGCTGGCAATCGCCCCAGGTCCAGGCTTGAGTTATTTGGTTGAAAAAGAGAGGGAGGGTGACCAGGCAGAGGCAGGGCTGCGGGACCTTTGTGAGGTGATGCTTCCCTGCTCGTGCATTCTGTGTTCTACTTGTTCAGTCTGAGAAAGACACCAAGGAAGAAATCCTGAAAGCATTCAAGCTCTTCGATGATGATGAAACCGGGAAAATATCATTCAAAAATCTGAAGCGCGTGGCCAAGGAGCTGGGTGAGAACCTGACTGACGAGGAGCTGCAGGTGTGTAACGCCTCAAACTCGAACTCAGTTCCTGCCTTTGCGCCCCTGGGCTCTGCTGAATTCCTTTTTCACTGGCGGAGGCGCCTCTTTGAAGGAAAGCAAGTGTCTTTCCTCTCTACTCACAATTCTTGGTGAGTTTCACAAATCCATGAGTCTGTTTCCAGAAAAGTGCACCTACCTGCAGCGAGTCCCTCCAGTCAAGGTGACCCTCGAGCTCCCCTCTAGGTGGTGTGTATGGCTTGGTTTGCACATAGCTTCCCAGGAGCCAAGCTGCCCTGAAAAGTGGCACATCTGCCTTCAGTGGCCTGCAGCTGTCCCTGCACATAGCACTCCAAGAAGCCGTTGCTCAATAGCCTTTAGTTTCTGAATGGATCTAACCTGAACCTTACTGTCACGCAGGAAATGATCGATGAAGCTGATCGAGATGGAGATGGAGAGGTCAACGAGCAGGAGTTCCTGCGCATCATGAAGAAGACCAGCCTCTATTAGGGCCAGCGTTGTCATCTCTCTTCTGCTGTGAGCACCTGTGACTAGATTCAGTGCCTGCTGCCCTGTGAAACCCGGTTCCCCCACTTCCCTGTGTCACCTCAGCCGTGACCTCCAATCTAGTTTGGACTTTTGGACATGTTCTTTGATATTAAAGATCTTTGTCAAATGATCCGCTGGTTACTTTAATTCTTGAAAGCAGAATGAGAGCGCGTCAGACTAAGGAACAGGGTCTTCAGGTCTGCCCACCTGCCGTTTCTCCCGACCTCGCCGCACTCTTGTCTTGGTCTCCACACAGACACGAAGGGACCCCCAAGAAAAGCACACGCGTGCTTGGGTCGCCACCAGCTGTGGCCCCTTTTCAGCGGCTCCCCTGTACACCTGTTGCCTGAGTGCCATTTTCTCTTGCAAAACGCAGTGAACCCTGGGGCTGGCATTCGGATGTGTGTTAACGCTGTTTGTTTTGTCTTAAAAATAAAACATTTCTCAGTTTGAGTTTTCATTCTCTAACGATGAGTTCTTTTGCTTTGATTCTTGAGTTCATTTCTAACAGTTGTGTCGAAGGCAGCCCGGTAGATATAAAACTTTACCAGCCTGTGGACGGAACGTGAAATAACCCTTTGCAACTTGCCTGGCATGAGTCGTTTCTTGCTTTGGGGATCTGTGGGTTTATAAAACTAGTAGAATTTCCATTTCACTGAAGCCTAAACAATGTGCTAGAAAGTCTTGGAAAAAGGTAAAGCTGAAAAAGAGGCTGTGGGTAATTTGTGCTTGGCCAGAAGGGAGCAAGCGAGGCTGTTGCTATGATAGGCTGGACTCGGCCAGTCTGTGCCTTACTTCCTTACAGTGTCTCCTAGACTCTTGGAGTTGGGGAGGAAGGAGACCTCGTCCGGCTGCCCTCAGGGCCCTGTATGGGGTCACCTGCCCGACAAGATAAGTAACAACGATGAAGGGGGAGAGAATGGGCTTTCAAACCTGCAGGCGTCCTAGTTCTGGGGAGAGGTTGCCTGATTTAGCTAAGAAAAAGAACAGCTCGTAATTTTGAATTTTAGATCAACAGTGGATCACAGACATGCATGTAACTACTGAGCAATTGTTTTGTATGTCCCATTTGGACTTTGTGCTGCTGGTTGTTGATGTGCAATCACACTTACCTGGGCATCCTGTAGTTCCCACAGGCAGCCCTAGGTGAGGGGCACGGGAAGAGCTGGGCCTGGGCATCCTGGAGGCCTCGGCACAGGGCTGCGGACCCTGTCATCCCCCAGCTAAGTTGCACGCAGAGGGCAGCCCTGGCTTCCAGGCTAGTTCTCCCTCCAGGATGTGCCTCGGGCTCCTCGTCTGTACAATGGGGCGGAGAGTTGGGTTTAACTAGAATTGCTGGGGGTCAGGTAAATCCATTCAAGAATGAGGTGTTTCGGAAATGTTTATTCTCCCCCCAGTCTTTTGTTATGGCCATCACATAAGCTTTGCTGGGAAATGTAGGCCCTGATGACTGTCCCTAAGTCAGTTGGCAGCATTTCCTGGGGGGATTTGATTTTTGTCATACTGCTGTTTTCTTTTTCTTTCTTTTCTTTTTTGTTGCTGGGGGTCGAACTTAGGACCTTGCACTTGAGAGGCAGGTGCAGTGCCACTGAGGTACATCCCCGGCCCTGTATTGCTGTTTCGTATTAAGAGGCTTTGGATCTGATTGAAGACACAGTATCGGAAAGGAATGAAAAGATTGGTCCTGTCTCCCATTTTACTGTGAACCGTAACCCTGGAGACATTCTTTTTAAAATTTATGTTTTAGCAGATAAGTAAAAGTTGTGCATATTTACTGTGTACAAAATAATGTTTTGCAAAGCCGTATACATTGTGGGGTGGCTAAATTAACTACCCTGAAAACACTGTTCTGTCCTCCTTAATGTTCCTGCATATGAAGTGAGGTCTCTCTGGAACCGCTTGAGGGAGGTGGGAAGGCAGCAGCGTGAGGTGCTCACCATGCCCAGCCAGGAAGCCACTGTATAGTAGGGGGAGCGGAGACAAAAGAGGGGCCCGAGGCAGCCGAGGTGGGCCTGGACCAGAGGGTGCTGAGGGGTCAGGAAGAAGAGGAAGCTGTCCACGCACCCAGGGCAGCACAGTGGTGCAGGGAGGAGGAGGGGAAGAGAGCGGTTTGCGTGGGCTGGGACAGAGGAGGGTTGGTTGGAGTGGGGCCTGGGCTGGAGAGAGGCTGAAGGTCAGTGGATGCGGGGTTGGATGGAGAAAGCTCAGTGGAGTGGTAGGAATGGGGGAGAGCAGAGGTCAGCTGTGTGGGGGCCACCAGAGACACAGAGGAGGGCAAGAAGGCATTTCACCTGGGGACTTCTGCCCCTCCTTAAGGCCCTAAGGACACACTAGATGTCCGTGAAACACTGTCTGCCGCTAGAACTGCTATGAACAGCTGGGTTTACCAGTAGGCACACTCAGGCTTGATAGAAATAGAATCTCTCCAAGGAAGTTGTTTAAACAAAAGCAGTATTTACTCGCTGACCCCGTAAGATGTGGAAGGGCTGCTGGACAGAGATGGTAGCCGTCTTGTGGTCCTTCACTGTGTCAGATTTTGCATTCTTTGTATTGGACTGTTTTGACTTTTCAAGTTGTACCGTGACTAGAATAACAAGAAAGGGCATACATCCTACCATTTTCGTCAGTTAACCATACGGTGAGGTAGACCCAGGTCTTGCAGGAGCCACGTGGCTTGCAGCCGTGGGCATCTCCACCATCTCCTGGGGAAATGTCCCTGAAGTTAGGGGACTTCTGAGTGTGCTGACTTTCCAAATGCGACGCCAAGGACCGGGCTCTCTGGCTTTCCTTTGGCCACACTCAAAACCCAATCTTGGGTCAGCTCTTCTCTTGAGCTGGCTCCTGCTATCTTAGTCATTTTCCTTATCACTGGGATAAATACCTGCCACCCATACTTTAAAGGAGGAGAGGCTTTTGGCTCACAGTTCCAAAGTTTCAGCCCATGGTGAACTGGCCCTGAGACTGACACAGCCTGGCAGAAGGGTCTGGTGAGGAAAGCTGCTCCTGTCGTGGCAGCCAGCAACAGAGAAGGAAGGGAGGAGCCAGGGAGGGCGATGCACCCTCCCAGGTCAGGCTCCCGGGACCGCCTCTTCTGACCAGGCCCTGCCTCCTGGCATCACACCCAGCTGTAATGGCCCCATGATTCAGTCACTTTCCAAAACACCTACCTATGAGTGCATGCAGTTTTGGGGGAGGGGAGTCTAGATATAAACTATAACAAGGATTGTTCAACTTTATTTTATGTTTTGTTACACTTTGTAATTCGAGAAGATTGCAGCACAGTTGAAGGAGCACTCAAAAAGCCCCAACAATGTAACAGCCATTGTAATTTAGGCAGGAGCCATGGAAAATGGCCAGCATCCCATCCACTAGGCCCTTAGACACTCTTCAGTTTGTCTAGCTCTGCTTGTGGCCTGGGTGCCAGTCACTCCTGAAGCCGACGATCCCCACAGCCCACGGATGATGTTGGGCCCGCCATCACCATGGTGATAAGCATCTTAGAGCAAGCTCTCGCAGCCTCCACCCATCCTATGTGCTGGGAGTTGCTAGAATAGCCTGCTCCTTAGCAAAAGCAATGCACCTGCGTTGGTTAGCGTTGTGAAGCATTGTTGCCATCCTAACGTGCCACACCAGGATGTATTGGACACATCTGGTGACCCAAATCTCTGCCGTCCACCCCCAAACCTCCTCGAGGGCTCTGGGCCTGTTGCTAAGAATGTCACTGGCAGCCCTTGATAACGCTGGAGCATAAGTCTCCCTCTGCTCTCACTTTCCCCACAGACTCCCAGTCTTTTTGCCTTTTTTTAACCAGGGCCTTTTGCCCTTCTCTCTCTGACTCCTGCGGTGGAGAGGCTTGGTGTCATTTTCATTTTTCCTAGCTTGGATTCTTTGTCTCTAGTGAGTGCTTATGTGTCTTACCCATGTCTATATGTGCACTTAGTCCTCTTCCACTGTCCCAACTGAAACACTACCCCCCTTTCCCCCAAATCTTTGTTCCCTTTACGAAACTCCTCCTGAGACCTCCATTCTTCCAGAAAACTTGTTTGTGCAGAGAGGATTTCTCAACTGAAACACCATAGTCCTGCAAATATATTTCTTGCCACTAGACGGAGCCCCTGAGGTGGCGCTGCCTTAGAATCCTGTTGAGTTCAGCGGTGGTTTAAACTGGGTCTTCCTCTGGCTCAAACAGCCGTAGAACGTGAAGGAGAGGATGGCACGGTGGGAAGACCCTGCTGGGGCTGGGGGCTTCTTGCAAAATGTTACAGACGTGGGCGCTGATGGATGCCCTACTGAGTCTAATTAAAAGAGAATACAATGACATGTTTGCATTTCTCAGTGTACGACCAAAATGGTTTACTCGATGCACAGGCTTAGTGAGAGTCCCTAAGTACATGGACGACTTCTCAAGGGAATGACACAGGTGTGCCTTTGATTTCTTCACGGCCAAGCTTTGTGCTTGGTGCAGTGTTCCACCCAGAACCTGGCTTACTCACTCGGCTATTAACTCACTGAAAATGCCTAGCCTCTGTGCGTGCTTTTCTCACAAGAATCCCTGTTATGAGTTGACTTCTGTTTGCCCCAGATTCCTATGTTGGAGTCCTAACCTCCACTAGCTTGGAATGCAGCCTTATTTACAAGGCCTGTGTTGGTGCAATTAGCTAAGATCAGCTCCTGCTGGAATAAGATGGGCCCGAATCCAGTAGGCCCGGTGTCCTTTCTGAAAGGGGGACATTTGGACTCAAAGACACGTGAGGCATGGAGGGAACACAATATGAAGGCACAGAGAGCAGAGGGCCACGCTGAAGCCCAGACCCCAGATTGCAGATTTCAGCCCACAGAGGATGCGCATTCCTGCCATGGAAGCTTCTGAGCCTGTGGTATTTTGCAAACTCATACATGCCTCTCTCTTACTGAAAAACTTCCTCTGTTCCCTGCTGGTTCCCTGGCCCTAACCGGATTTTTCCAGTGAGACAGCTCCAGCAGCACTTCAGCCTTGACCCTGAGGCTGGAGACTGCTGCTCTCTGGGGCCTGGGGAGCTCTACAACACTGTCCCTGTCCCTACCTGGACATTTCCTGTGATCGTTCCCTCCTCGGAGGCCCTGGGATCCAGCGAGATTTCCCGCCCCTTT